ATCTAAACTTCACATAGACAAAACAAACTGATGATTGTATATTCCTTCCCCCAAGTCACCTCTGCTCTGAATCCGACCTGTCCCAGAAATCTGCTGTAACTCGGTTGCTAAGGTTGAAAACCTAAAAGTCATTCTTGATTTCTCACTTTCTCATACATTCTACATCCAATCCTTCAGTAATTCCAATAGGTTTTACTTCTACAACACATACTTACTTGACCATTTCTTATTAGCACAGGGAAATGGAACCACAGTGGAGTTCAAATTCTAAGTCTCACACTTACTGGCAACTTACCCAACCTTTGGGGGCTCAGTTTCCTCATCTGTAAAATGGACATAAGCATATCTCCCCTCCCCCCACATGTTTATTATAAAGATTAAAATAGTGTGTATATGTGTTTATGTATAGACAGATAAACTGGAAGAGTGCTTGAATAAGCTTTATATCAGGGCTTGCCACCACTCTCATCATCATTATTTCCCTCTAGTCCAATAGTCTAATGATATTATTATATATTATTATTTCCTGTTAGTCCTAGGTACCTGTTCTAGACCAGTCTATTAACAACTTCCATCTGGAATCTAATTCCGGACAGGAAGCCTGGACTTCCTGTCCTGCAATTAGCTTACCAAGAAGCAAGGGTTATTGTCCTAAAGCACAAGTCGGACCATGTTACTTCCCTAGTTAACAACCTCTGACAGTGTCCCTTTAAATTTACAATTATATTCAAAGTCTTTACTGTGACAATGGACTATAAAGCTTTAAAGGGTCTAGCCCTTGTCTATCCCTCTGAATTCATCTTCTTCCTATTTTTTAACCTTACACTTGCGTTCCAGGACAAATTTCCTTCTTCTGTTCCTCTAACTTGAAACATTTCCACCATATATCTAGGCTACCCAGTTGCAGTTTCTCCTTGTTCATCATCCAGATCTTTATACAGCTATCTCCCTTGTGTTATTTATTTATTTATTTTTTAAAGATTTTATTCATTCATTTTAGTGAGCGACAGTACCCAGGAAGAAGAAGAAGGTTGGCGGGGGGAGAGGCAGAGGGAGAAGCAGATTCCCTATTAATCAGGAAGCCCGATGCGGGGCTTGATCCTAGGACCTCAGGACTGTGATTGGAGCCGAAGGAAGATGCTTAACCAACTGAGCCATCCAGGGTCCCCTCCCTTGTGTTATTTATACTGCAGCCAAATGGCCTGGGAATCAGACACCATTGTAGGCAAATGCCTCTCTCATTTCCACCCCCCACTCTCTTATGACTATATCACCTGGTTTTTCTTATTCAGAGGCACTCATTTGTCTATTTGTTTGTTTGCTTGGTTATTTACTTTTTAAGTGTGTAGTTTCTGTCTCTGTTCTCTGGGGTTTTGGACCATGAAAACTGGTCTACTCCTAGTATTTGGCCCATAGAATGAATTCAATAAATATCTATTGACTACGAACTCTACATATAATTGTGATGTGCAGACAGCTTTGAGAATTACTATTTTAAATTACCTCATTTTAAATAGGAATACTGATATACAAAAATGCTTATGCTTAGCACTTTAATTGGCACACTTTCATGGAAAGGTATAACTAAGTAGAAAATGCTGTTATTCACTTTATAACATTTAATTGCCATGTTTTTCTGCACAAAATAAATCTTTTATATAAGAAGCCAAGTTCCTCTGACCTTGAGGCTATAGCTAAGGCATTAGCACTTACCTGGAGGGTCAGAACTCCCAGGTTGTCTTAGGCTTGCTCTTCCCCTGGCTAGAGTCTGGGAATCGGAAATGCTGTGGGAGTTGAGACTGAGCAAAGGGCATGTCCAGCTTGATTTCTAGTCAGGGGTGAAGCTGTTCAATGAGTGATTAGAAAGGGCAGGTGGAAATGTGCAGAGGGAGGCCTGAGACAAGCAAATCATGTATTTTAAGGAACATGCCCATAAGCAAATCCAGGGCCTTGAGGCCAAAACCCAGGGCAGGCACAAGGGAACACGGAAGACACAAGGTCAAGTCAATGGACTGTGGAGGTCAAGTCTGGGAAAATCCCTAGACTCAGTGATCGGGGATGGGGTGGGAGAGAGGGGTCTTTGTTAGACGGGGCCTGTGACATGGCAGTGCTGATGAAAATAGTGAGCTTGATCGTAAGTTGAGTAAGCAGTTTTTTAATTTTTTTAAATTTTTTTTTAATTTTTTTTAAGATTTTTATTTATTTATTTGACAGACAGAGATTACAAGAAGGCAGAGAGGCAGGCAGAGAGAGAGGAAGGGAAGCAGGCTCCCCGCTGAGCAGAGAGCCCGACGTGGGGCTCGATCCCAGGACTCTGAGATCATGACCTGAGCCAAAGGCAGAGGCTTTAACCCACTGAGCCACCCAGGCGCCCCGAGTAAGCAGTTTTTTAAACACAAGTCTTGAAAAACAGAATTTTTAGAAAACAGAAAACACTACACCTGGCACTTAAAAGCTACAGAAAATGAGCAAGTGGCGTCTTTATCACCCATGTGGCTCTTATGGCACAGATATAAAATACAGCAAATAGTTCCTCCATCAGACAGCAGGACCCTAAACAAATCTTACAGTTTAGGCCCAGGGAGAGTAGTTGCCAATTGCTAAGACAAAAGAGAGAGGAGCGTAGGGAGAGATAGAGAGACAGAGGGAGTGAGAATTAATTATTATTTTGACTGCTGGCCCAGGAGCCCTATTTGGAAGGCAAATGTTTAATTTAGCAAAATACCTTCATGAGCAGTGGGAACAGTATGGAATGAGGCCATGCGTGGAGTTCAGGGACCAAGTATAGAGCCCTGCATAACCAGTGACGGAGTCTTCGTTGAGGGAGAAGAAGCACGTGGGAAAGACCTGGCCATGTTCTCTGTCAGGCCGGGAACTGAGTTGCAGAAATGATCAAGGGAGAAATGCCTTGCAGCTGAAGGATTTGGAGGAAATAGCTAAGGATCAGGTTCTAATAGGTAGTAGTGAGAACTGGGGGTAAGAAGAGAATTTACTTAACACTGGGCAAAGAATTTTAGGAAGCAAGCAGTGACCCTGACCAGAAGAAACTAATTTAGAAAATAAAATGTTTTTTAGCGAATTAAAATTGTGGAGATTAATGGCCCTTAGAGATACCATCTATTGCATCCAACTCTCACTGGATGCAACAGTTGTTGCCTGAAGTAGAAAGATCTCTGTGAAAGAAAAAAAAAATACTGTTTCTCTTTTCTCTTTTCCTCAGTGGGGGCTTAAGAAACATTTGCTGCCAAAGATATGTGTAAAATACCTCTTTGCTTCATTAAATGAAATGTCCTTCCCAAAGTTGTCTCAGTGATAATTAAATGAACTATGAGCCGTAGTCACTGTAATTAGGAATAAAACTAACAATTTAAGTAGCTGGTTCTAGGGAAATAAGAAAATGTAGTATCAACTAAATTTCTACTATTAAATCCAGGTAATTCAAACTCTAGACGAAGCTATGACTTTCTCAAAGCTCTCAGACAGCAAACTCAGTCTCCCTTGAGAAGGCTTTCCCACCTTCCTCAGTGACTTTCTTAAAAACAACACAAGTGTGGGAAGCTCTGTGGAGACAAGAAGGATTCCTGGCTGTGTGCCCCAGTGGTGCTGCCAGATGTTTCCTACGTTGACTTCTCTTCTGCCCCATGTTTGGTGTCAAACCTGTCCCTACTCAGTTGCTTATGTGTGGAGTAGCTCAGTTTCTCCACTCGTAGTTCTTGTATTAATTGTTGAATCCAGAAAAATAGAAAAAAAATGATATAACAAAGTCAGGAGCCTTGGAGTGGGTGTATGGAGGAGGCCATATGCCAGGCACCACTGTGCAAATATTAACTCACCTCGTCGGCATCAATGCCCCAGAAGATAGCTTACTATTAGGATCTCCATGTTTGCTGCTGAGTCAACAGAGGCACAGAGCCTGGAAAACTGACCCAAGGTTTCAAAACTAGAAAGGAGTAGAATTGAGATTCATACAAAACTCTGGGAATCTGGCTCCAGAGTCCATAATCTGAACTCTTTTGCTTGACCTTTGCCAAGGAAATTAGTGTAAAAAGGGCATGTTCACTGTAGACAACATGGCAAATTGGAGGCAATAACCAAGCATAGAGAACAAGACCTCTCTGGGTCTTGTTTCTTCACATTAATTACGCTTTCAGGCTTCTGTCAACCCTGTTGTTGAACTCTATATTTGGATGTTAGCTGAAGGCCTCTTGCACCTAGTTAAGATGAGATGGGCTCACCACCGTCAGGCTTAAAAGTAACTATGTCCCTGTTTGAGGTGTTAAGACAACCTGTAGAGAAAGCCATCTTCACTCAATCTTTCCACATGTGAGATATCAATCAAGATCTAATAACTGGAATGTTCTTTGAGGAAAGCCATAAACATTGAGGAATTAGCACACACAGTGATGCCTAAGGCCACTCAGTAAGAGACCAGTGGTTCCAGATCGTTCTGGAAGGCTGTGGTGGCTCCCCATCCTCCTTAAAGTGCCCTCAGCTCAGCCTCACTTCTGTTTATGTTTTACATGCCAAACTTCTGCACAAATTTTTTAAGAAATGTTTCACTACTTAAAAATTTGACTTTTTTTCTTGCAGTCATCTTTATTAGTACTGGATAGTGTATATATTAATTTGCTCAATTATTTATTATATTAGGTATTGGGAAAACAAAGTGAAATATCACATAGCACCTTTCCTCACGAAGCATGCCATTTTTGGAGTCCTGATCCAGTTTGAGGGCTGAACTGAATTTTAAAATGAATTACTGTCCTCTGTACACTTTCTAAGGCATTGTAATCAGAATCACAAAGTAAATACCCTCATTACTACAGATTTTAACTTTTTGCTCATCAGTGATAAATGAATCACAATGGGAGATCCTAGGATCTTATTCCTCTAGAAGAACCGAGAAAGGAAGACTTATACTCATTCAAAATCGATGTCAATAAAAGAAGCAGAGCGCTGTCATTTTTCTTTAAACATGTAAAAATTGTTTCATTTCTTACCTCTAGAGCTTTCAATCTTTCCAACAGGAATTTGGTGTTTTCTTTCCCCTCATCTGCACTGCTGCTTTCACTCCTCGAATCCTCATCCACCACCATGTGAAGACCTTCCAAAGTTTCCTTGTGTTTTCGCTCTTCCTCTGACAGTTTTTCCTGACGTGAGAAAGAATTACTATTTTCAATGATCTCCCTTGAAAAACAGGAAAGAGTCTGCAGCTGAAAAGTGTGTAACCTCTCTACTGCTTTTATGTTCTTTTTGGGGCTGAGGCAGAGAAGATTTTGCTAACAAATTCTCAATAGTATTACATTAGTAAAACACCATAAATTAGTGAATCTTGGCAAGAAAAAGCCATTGGGTCAATACCCCTGAATGCAGAAGTCCTCTGCCCTGCTGGAGAAGCTGACCCAGCCAACAAAACCCTAGATGGAATCATGGGGGCTAATCCATTTTTATCTGTACCATGGAATTCAGCTGTACTCCAAACTAAGAAAAAACAAATCAACCTTGATACCTTGATTTATGAAGAGCTTAGCTCCTCAAAAGAGGATTGTTAAAGTCATTGGACATGCAACTATTTAATTATTCTAAGGGAAAATAAAATATTATGAAATATTGAAATGAGAGTGATTTCAGAATTCTAATATGAAACCAATTAGTTCCTTTGGCTTGATGACACAGCTCTTAAGGACCCTTTAGTTCCTTTTCTAACACTCCAGGATTTGTAGTATAGCCTTGAGGCAGACATAAAATGTCCTTATCTTGTCTTTCCTCACTGTTGGAAGCTCCTCACTCAACCTTATCTCTGGCAGCTTTTGGAAGTTGAGAAGTGTTAATTTGAGCCTTATGATTGCCTCTTGTTTTCAAGGGAAAAAGAAATGTCAAGAGAATATCATATGAGGGAAAAAAAATCTCATCCATTCTGCACATATATTAAAAACCTTGCGCTACAGAACCAGGTGACATCATTCCATCACACTACTGAATCCTAACCCAGATACCTCAGAAATCGTTGCCTTACTACCAACTGGTTGTCAACCATGTGGGCTAAAGTGGATTACCAGTGGTGAGAGACTTCTTTATATTTAGCACTAACTCAGATCATTTGCCAATAGAAAGCGAAAAAGCTAGCATTCTTCATCTCTAGGCCCTTAAAAAATCTACTTAGAGTGGAAAGGCCAGTTTTTCAAACTGTGTTCACAAAAGTGCTTCAGAGGTTCTAAAAATGTTTAACTTATTTTTTGAAAATAAATGATAAAGTATGTAAAAATAGGTCTTAATATATATATACAGATGTATTAATATACATCAATAGATAGACACACCTGGAGACCCACAGTAACTTGACCCATGTTAATTTGTTTTATATAGATTTCAAGCTATCATTTCTTCTGTCATCTCTCTAAAGAAATGCACAATTGATTAGGAAGGTGATATCTCTTTATGAAATCAGGCCTTGGCATGTCTAACCACATATTATCGTGCTGACGTGTTCACGTCCATAGCATGTAGGATTTCAGCTCGGATAAATGTCATGCAAGTTTAAGGTGGACATCCTCAGGGCAGGACAAAAATCCAGATCATGATTGAATTCTTTATGGCTTTGATTCTTTAAGGTCTGGTCACTTGTCAGACTTTCATTTCTGTGGTAAGGAACATGAAGCATGTAGAGTTACCAAGTCAACTTGGAAATGAAGAGGTCCTCTTGTTTCTCTTTTAAGATTTGAGACTGTAATTAAACACTAAACTGGGACTGTAAAGCCAGCTACTTTTAAAAATCTACATCTATTTATCTGTATGAATTATGGTTTTTCACTGCTCTTTCAGCCAATTCCACTTGTATTTTCTCTCTTCCTCCCTCCCTCTCTCCTAGGAGTTAGGGCTCTAAAGCTAATTAAAACAAACAAGAGCCACTGTTGTGGTGAATGGCTTCAGAATATGACAACCAGTTTTCAAGTCTACCATTTACTAGCTTAGCAAATATCGTGGGCAAATTACTAAATTTCAGTATCTCTTGGTTTCATTGTCTTCTAAATACCTAAATGAAGTTAATGCCAACAAATATAGCATACACGTATACACAATCAATTCTCATTATTTCTGGTAATTCTGTTCTATCAAGTTGTCATGAACGCTGAATTAGCAAATACTGTTCTTAGGGGAAATACAGGGTTAGGCTCCTGTAGGCAACATTTCCATCACTAAACAATGCACAATCTTGTTTTTTGAGTGCTTCTATTGAAAGACATGTAATTTAATATATACTGTTAATTCATTAACATTGAACTAAAAGCCTCCAGTCCTATAACGCATACCTGAACAAAGTTATCTAACACCTGTTTTTTCCATAAGGCACATCACAGCCTTCTTGCCCTTAGGAACACTAGATGGCATTTCAGCAATATGCTTGGAGGCCATTTTAAATATTGAAATCACGAATGAAAAGCATAAAATATGAAAAGCATGGCACTAAACAGAATGCTAAAGCACACTTGTTTATAGTAGGTGGTCAAAAAACAAGAAATCAAGAGTGGTACCTTGTTTGACCTCAGCTGGGAACGTGCATGTCAGGTGACTCAAGGTTGTCACTACTCTGCAAATATCCATGATTTATCATCAAAGTATCACACAATTTGATTATAAACAAATTTTAGGGAAGAGGAGAATTCAGTAATACAAAATCCAAAAATAATAAGGGTTGACAGTACATACACACACACACACACACACACACACACACACACAAGCACACACGCTTAAAGTGTCCAGACACAGTGCCTAAATAATATTATATGAAACAACTGGAAACAATTCAAGATGATATAGATTATATGTGAGTGTTTAGACTGCCTAACATGCATGGGTGATTTTACATAGTTTGAAGTATGGGCAATCAATAGGGCTGTGGGACATGATTTCATGGAAATGTAACAGGACTTGCATTTTGACACAATGATATAACTTGAATAGTTAAAGGGACAAACAGTGGGATTTGGTGTTGAAGAGAGAACTGAAAAAAAGGTTCCCAGTGAGGAATAAGTCTTGTCCTTATTGGCTGAGAGAAAACCAGTTTGATCATAGTACACACAGAAGAAAGAAAGTACTGAGAGAGTAGTCGAGTACAGGACTGTAGAGTAAAAGAGACAGGATTCTGGGAAATGGGAAATAAAAATTCAGACACAATTCATTCATTGATTTGTTCATCCTACAAATGTTTATTGAGTGTGAACTGCTGGCCATTTGTTGTTCTGGGCGCTGAAGTTATGGCAAATAAGACAAAATTTCTATATTCCATGAATTTATATTCTAATGACAAAAAAAATGCTGAACTCCAAATTAAATCAGAAAGTTATGTCATTGTAGCTAGTGGTAAATACTATGAAGAAAATAAAACAGCATGATGTGATTCAGATCAGTGTTGCATCTAAAGAAAATGTTAGATATGGTGATATGAGAGTAAGGTGCATCAGTGTAAGAGAAAGTGGCCATTTGAGTGGAGACCAAATGATGAGGAGGAAGCAGTTAAGCAATGGCCTGGCATAAAATTTTCCAACCAAGTTAGAGCAAAATCAGTACCCAGAGGCAGAACTAAGCTTCCCTTGCTGGCCAGCTGGGAGGGAGTCCATGTGTGGGAACACAGTCACTATAAGAGCAAGACTAGCAGGAAATGTGACCAGGGAGAGAGCTGGAACATGGAAGGTCCTGCAGGGCATGAAAAATGTAAGGGCTTATTTAGCCAGAGCGGCCCCACCTTGGTTGAACTATCATTTTGTTGTTTATGCAGTAAAACTTAAACTGACCCTCCCCCGAACTTACTTACAAGGAAGTCCGGGAAACCAGTCCCAGGTAACAAAGCCCAAATAGAAGGGTGGGTCAAGTCAGGTGGAGCAAATAGCCCGGATGCAGGGATGAGTCAGGTCAGGTGGAGACATCCAATCAGTAGAGCATACATACTGTCTCCCTAGCTACTGAGGAGTGTGGGCCCCGCCTTTTGGGCACCAATTCTGACCAAGGTGATAGCCTAGTTCAAATAGCTACTATGGGGTGGACTGTAGTTCAATTGGCCACCTGTGTGGGACCTAGCAGGACTGTGCAGCTTTCTCTGTGTGTTACAATCTCATTGGCCACCTGTGTGTGGTCAAGCCCAACCACATGGCCTTTGCTCTATAAAAGTTAGTCTGTGAGGCAGGGGGAGGGTCGCCTCTTTGCAAGAGACGGCCCTGGCCGGTCAGTTTGATTCTCGATGCTTGGCGTGAAATAAAGCTTTGCTTGACCTTCACTTTGTATCAGTCTTGCTCCTTTAATCAGGGACCCATTATTGGGGGACCTTTCAAAAGGGGTTTGGACCACCATTGCACCCTGCTGGGCCAATCCTCCAACTGTTTTCATTCTCAGTCTCCCCCCAGATGTAAAATGAAGGGGTTGGACTAACTGCGCCTTCCATTGCTGAAGTTCTAACAATTCAATTCTCGGGACACAATTTTCAGGGAGGGAACGTTGTCAGTATGCTCCATGGTGACAGAGGTGACAGGAGAACAGAAAAAGAGCCTCTACATCTTGTAATAAGAAGGGTGTTCCTGGGGACTGGAGAGCTAAAGCATGATGAGGACACCCTGCATTGTCAGTGGGTAAGCAGAAAGTGAAAAAAAGGAAATAGAGGCAATTTTCTTAGATGCTTATTTGAAAGTCTGGCAGGGAAGGGAAGGTGACAGAAAGAAGCGTAGCTAAAGGGTGTCACAGAGATAAGTGGAAACCTTTTTCAAGACCTAGAAAACTGAGTTGTTTGAGGAACTGAAGAGAAGAGGGACAGCACAGGTGGGGATGCTGAAGAAGAGGCCTCTGAAGCAGAGGGGGCAGAGGACGACGGGTGCTGCGGGAAAAGTCAAGGGTTTTCAAATGCGGTCCCCTGAAAAATAATACCTCATAGCTTAATTCCTGAGTTAGTGTTTCTAAATCATTTACTAGTGCCTAGCTTAAGTTTTCTTCTTTTTTCTTTTGTAATTACTAATTTGATTTTATTGTAATGCACACACAGAGACATTAAATATGACATACATATAACATGCTGTAATAGCTTCAAAATAATATTAGTACAAATAAAAACCTACTGAGTCCAATATAAGACTTCTACGCAGGTATTTTTTGTCTTTGTATG